AGAAACACCCAGCTGTTTTTTTCTGGGTAACTTGGAACTATAAATACTTTGAAAAAAGTTTAGAGAAATATTTGTTTGAAATTTCAGTTCCTTGCATCTTACTGTGTCCTCCTGTCTGTCTTGGTAGCTTCCATTTTGGGGGGCAGTGTGTGGTTTTTTTTCCTCTGGTTCTCACACATTTTCCAATTTCACTCCCGTGGTAGGAAGTGCAGCAAAGCCTCTGCAGTTAGTATCTGTGTTCATAGAATCATAGAACTGGAAGACACCTCCGAAGGTCATCAAGTCCAGCCCCCTGCTCTAGGCAGGACCAATTCCAACTAAATCAACCCGGCCAGGGCTTTGTCAAGCCAAGACTTAAACACCTCTAGGGATGAAGACTCCACTACTTCCCTAGGTAACCCATTCCAGTGCTTCACCACTCTCCTAGTGAAATAGTTTTTCCTAATATCCAACCTGGACCTCTCCCACCACAACTTGAGACCATTGCTCCTTGTTCTGCCATCTGTCACTCCTGAGAACAGCCTCTCTCCATCCTCTTTGGAACCTCCCTTCAGGAAGTTGATGGCTGCTATCAAATCCCCCCTCACTCTTCTCTTCTGCAGACTAAACAGACCCAAGTCCCTCAGCCTCTCCTCATAAGTCATATGCTCCAGCCTCCTAATCATTTTGGTTGCCCTCCGCTGGACCCCCTCCAATGCGTCCACATCCTTTTTGTAGTGGGGGTCCCAGAACTGGGCACAATACTCCAGATGTGGCCTCACCAAAGCCGAATAAAGGGGAATAATGACATCTCTGAATCTGCTGGCAATGCTCCTCTTACTTACTGTGTTACTGGAGGGTTGTCAGTAAGAACAGGGTGAACGCTGGCCAGATTAAACTCTTCCATTCTGCCTTCATTGGGTCACTCCAGATTGACACTGGTCTCATTGGGTACGTCTACACAGTGGGCTAAAGTTAAATTAAGCTATGCAGCTAGATTAATTGTGTAGCTGAAATTGAAATAGCTTAACTCGGTGTTTGGCGCTGTCTACACACTCCTCCTTCGACTTCCCTTCCTCCTCGTGAAATGAGGGTTACAGGAGTCAGGGTATGAAGCCCATTATTTTTAAATTATTTCGAAATAACAGGCTTGCTGTGTAGACACGCACTCTGGTATTTCGAAATAACGTGAGTTATTTTGCCTCCTGAAGTGGTGGCTTCCTTCAGACTCTTTCAGCAGGCCTCGCTGGTGTCTGTCGCAGGACCCAAAGCTCCAATTTGCACAGCCAGGAGCTGAAAGTGAAACACTAAGATTGAATTTGGTCCCATTGAGATCAATGACAAATTTCTGGACATGTCCAGCAGTTCACTCTAAATCCACATGCAGGGACTTAAATCAATGGAGTGATTTACACTGGCGATGAGCCTCCAGGAACTTCAATTGGAGTCATCCTGGGGCCTCTAAGGAGGGGTGAGTGTGTTTGGACCAAAGAACTAACTGGAGAGTTGCTGAAAACTCAAACTCGCAGGCTCTAAGGTTCCAAACAATTAGGGTCACATTGTTTTTGCAGGTGGGAGAAGGTTCTTCGCCCTCTGTGCCCCTGAACCTCTGAGTCTGGAGAAGACCAAAGCAAAACAAGGCAGTCGTCATTAAAGAATGTTCCGGGCTTAGAGGAGGGGTTAGAAATCTCACCTGAAGAGATTCAGGAATGCAAAGTGTGTGTCTGTGTACATGGGGGAGATGAGTGGAGCATCTAGTGTCCAGATGGGAGTTGTACCGAGTCCTGAAATGAGGTGAAATAGGAAACGGGCACCCTGCCGAATGCACAGATCAAAGAGGTGTAACGAGGCCTCCTGGTGGGGGAGGGTCTCAGGCTGTTAAAGTATATGGACCACTCCAGAGCAGATTGTTTTTGACTCCATCTGGACTGTCCTTCCTCCCCTCAGCAAAATCACTAGAGTTTTGTTGCAGCACCAGCAATTGCTATGATAGAAGGCAGCCTCAGCAAGGTCAGTCTGGGTTTCTAATGTGTCAAAACTTTGAGTTGTTGTGAGGAAGTTACTCAGGCTAGCTCCTGTTCATCCCCACATCCTCTCTCCCTCCCGGTAGGTCTATTCCACACATTTTCCTTGCCCAGGCTGAGTGGCTACTGGGGTTCCCTTTTGCCCTTGAAAGGCAGCTCAGGCTGATCTCCCCCTTTTCCCTAATGCAGAGAGACAGACAGGCTCCCTCTACACTGTTGGTTTTTTGCGGAAAAGGAAATGCAGATGAAGTGCTCATTTGCAAATATCACACTCTCATTTGCATATTCTCTTCTGATCCTTTTTGCGGAACAGGTTTATGCAAAAAAACCTGCAGTGTAAATGGGGCCATTTCTCGGGAAAAAAAAAGCCTTTTGTGCAAGATCCTGTAAACCTCATTTTTTGAGGAATAAGGGATCTTGTGCAAAAGGGTTTTTTTTTTCCCTCCCAAAAAATGGTCCCACCTACACTGCAGGTTTTTTTTGCAAAAACCTCTTTCACAAAAAAGATCAGAAGAGAATATGAAAATGAAAGCATGAAATTTGCAAATGAGCGCTTCATTTGCATTTCCTCTTCCACAAAAAACAAGCAATGTAGGGCTACGTCTAGACTGGCATGAATTTCCGAAAATGATTTTAACAGAAAAGATTTCCGTTAAAAGCATTTTCGGAAAAGCACGTCTAGATTGGCAGGATGCTTTTCCGCAAAAGCACTTTTTGTGGAAAAGCGTCCGTGGCCAATCTAGACGCGGTTTTCCGCAAAAAAGCCCCGATCGCCATTTTCGCGATCGGGGCTTTTTTTTGGAAAACAGTACTATGCTGTCTACACTGGCCCTTTTGGGCAAAAGTCTTTCGGAAAAAGACTTTTGCCCAAATGGGAGCAGCATAGTTTTTCTGGAAAATCACTGACAATCTTACATGAGATTGTCAGTGCTTTTCCGGAAATTCAAACGTCCAGTGTAGACAGCTGGCAAGTTTTTCCACAAAATCATCTGATTTTGCAGAAAAACCTGCCAGTCTAGACACAGCCTAGGTGTAGCCGAGTGTCACCTGGCCTGAGGTGGCATTTGTGTGAACTGTCGCTGTGTGGGGGTGGCACCAGACTTGCTTCCTAGATGAGGGATGTCACTATGTGACAGGGCTGGAAGCTGTGGTGGACCTTCATGCACAAATGGCCAGAAAAAAGGGGTTGTGAGGCAGGGAGCACAGCATAAATTGGTAGGTTGGAAATCCTCAGCACTGTGGGATCAGGCAAACAAACAAACAAAAAGGAAGTTTTTCTTCATGCAACACACAGTAAATCTGTGGAACTCCTTGCCAGAGGATGTTGTGAAGACCACGACATTAATAGGGTTAAAAAAGAAGTAGATAAATAAATGGAGGATGCTGGGCTAGATGGACCTTTGGTCTGACCCAGTGTGGCCATTCTTATCCTCTAAGGAGGATACACATGGCAATGGAGTGTTGAGAGTTGAGGGGACATGCAAGGGATGTAGAGTGTCAGATGAGTAGCTTATGGTGTTGAGGGTGCAGAGCAGCATAAACAGGGACAGGTGAGCAGAGATGCTGGAATTAAAATGCCCTTTGTCATTGCTTGTCAAAATGCCAGCACTGGAACCTTTCCTGGCACCAGGTGGATTTGGAAAGTCTTGTGGGCTCTTTGCCCTGGCAAGCCACAGAACTGCAGCTTGGACATCACAAGCATTACTTGGGTTTGTTTCCCATTGTTATTATTGTTGTCTAACCTAGGGCATTTCACCAGGGTAAAGAACCATTGCTCTTTGTATGCCCATTCTGCATAGTGAGCATATTGTGATATGATCATTTGATTATAGCATAACAGTGATATATTTTGTGCAAGACAGATATGGTCAAAGAGCCTTCAGAAGTTCTGGTTTTATGAGCATAATTATCATATTTATGCACATGAATCATTTTCGCATCTGAAGTAGAATAATAGAATCACAGAACTGGAAACGACCTCGAGAGGTCATCGAGTCCAGTCCCCTGCTCTCATGGCAGGACCAAGCACCATCTGTGTCTTACAGTAAAAGACCAAAGTGCAACCGAAGAAGGGGTGTAAGAAATCCATTGGTAGGTTGACCTCTTGATCATGATGAAAGTGTCACCCTACTGCCTAATAGTCTAAAAACACAGGACGATTGGCTTTCCAAAATATGTATGTAGCTGAAAACATTGTAACTGGATACTCCCATTATCCATGGGAGTAAATATCCAACCACTTCCTGATTCTTCCTTTTTTAAGTCCTCAACTTTACTTCTATCAGTAAGTGTTTTATAGTTTTTTTCATAGCCCCTCATATTCATTTCCTTTATAAGGTAGCAATCGTACTCTTTTCAACCTCTACATGTGAGTTTCCCTGTGCCTTTCAACATTCTCACTATGATTTCCTGAATCGTTCTATTTGTGCAATATCCTATCTGAGAAGGGTTCCCAGAACTACACCAAGGAGTTGACAGGACAGTGAAACATTGACTAAGAAATCTCATGGCATTGTATTTCCTTTATTATTCCCCATTTCGTTCTTCCGGGAGACCAAGGTTTTGCTTAGTTTCTCTCCGAGCTTGCACTGCGCAGAATGTTTCACACAGCTATGAACCATGATGTGAAGTTTGCTGTCCTAACTTCATACAGTTAAATTAGAACCTTCTTAAGTGTTTGTGGACCTCAGTTTTTTCCTTACAATGGGCATACAGATGGCAGTTTATGGACATTGAAGGACACCGTCAATGCTATCCATTCTCCTAACTTAGCTTCCTCTAAGGATGTCTCTAGACTTGACCATGACCTAAATAATTTGGTGCCATCTGTACACGTTGCCACCTCACTGCTCCCCCCCCCCCCTTTCTAGATTGTTAATAATGGTACACTATTTCCCATACTATTTGTTATAAAGCATGTAACCCCACTCACTATGCTTCTCTCCCTTCATAGGCAGCTTCAGCACTTCTGAACCCAACTGACGTATCTAACACCTCATGGCAGTTTTCAACCTCACTCCATCTGACCCTTCATCATTCATTCTAACAGGCATCCCTGGCCTGGAAGCTGCCCATGTCTGGATTTCCATCCCTTTCTCTACATTCTACATTATTGGCCTGTTGGGAAATTTCATGCTGCTGTTTATTGTAGGCAAAGAGCATACCCTGCATAAGCCGATGTACCTGCTACTCTGCATGCTGGCGCTCACAGACATAGCCACACCTACCTTTGTAGTGCCAAAAGCCCTGTGTATATTTTGGTTGAATTTGAAAGGAATTTCTGTGGCTGGTTGCCTCACCCAGATGTTCTTCCTTCACACAATTTCTGTTATGCACTCAGCTGTCCTTGTGACAATGGCCTTTGATCGCTATGTTGCCATATGTAACCCTCTGAGATATGCCACCATCCTCACCAATGCTCGAGTAGCTAAGCTAGGACTATTGGGTTTGATAAGAGCTATTCTGTTAATTCTACCTCTGACCCTGCTCATGAGCCGGCAATCATTTTGTGCCAACCGCATTATCCCCCATACACAATGCGAGCATATAGCTGTGGTAAAGATGTTGTGTGGGGACATCACCGTCAATAGGATGTACGGCTTAGTGCTATTGTTCATACTCATTGGATTTGATCTGACACTCATTGCCTTGTCCTATGGTCTGATCATCAAGGCTGTCCTCAAAATCTCCTCCAGAAACACCCACCAGAAAGCCCTCAACACCTGCACAACCCACCTCTGTGTGATGCTCACATATTATACTCCCAGCCTCTTCTCCAACCTGACACAACGGTTCAGTCACAATATTGCTCCCCATATTGATATTATATTGGCTGACCTCTATCTCCTCATCCCTCCCATGCTCAACCCTATCATTTATGGGATCAAAACCAAAGAGCTTTGGGAGAAAGTGGGCAAATACAGTTGTAGGAAGTGATCACCTGGAGGTACTTACTTTAAACATATGTGAGAAGAGGGGGAAGGATATCTCCTCATTAATCAAGAGTTTTATGTGCCAGTTTGGCTCAACTATAAATTGGAAAGAAGATCCCCAAATATAATGTCTTCTCACTAAGCACTTCTCCCTTCGTTGCTAAGTTGTATGACATAATCTTAAGCCATGCCTATGAACAACTCTCAGTGCTGAATGAGGAAGTGGTGAAACCCCCATAACCAGATTGTAGTGTTATTCATCCCAGGAGATAGAGCGTCAACCGACTGTAGTTAAGTGTTGAAGACTGGAATGTCATCACCTCAGCCATGTTGTCCAGGTTGCTCAGTGGATCTGTCTTGGAGCCCCAGTGTTGTCAGTATTCAATAGACCTCAACATTACGCATAAATAAAGGCAACAAACACAATTTGGGGAAAATGGCACTTGAACAGGTTCATTGTCCTTGAGGCATCATTCCAGCATACTAGATATGACCCAAGTGAGCAAATTAACGTATAAAATTCCTTTCTTGATAGTTGTATCCCAAGACATTCTTACCAATCAAGAACTTATGTTCACTTAATAATTAACTAGAAGATTTATTTGGTGGGGCTCAGATTCTTAACTTAATTCATTTTGGGGGGGAGGGGAAATAAAATGATAATGTCCATGCTTCTGATAAATCATTGCTCTGAGGTGGGGGTGGCAATGCAGGGGTCAGTATGCAGCCTGCCCCAGGGATAGTGGCAACCACATCCCTCTCTCACAGCAGCACCTTGCGTCCAGGTGAGAAGCACCTCTCCATGGTGGCTGCAAGTCCAGCAGGTACAAACGGGAGAGGGGTGCATGTCCTCTGCATGGGGCAGGTCAAGGAGTTCTTCTGCCCCTTGAACTTCCCATCCAAACTGTGCACGTTTCCCTCACTCCCTGAGGAAAGGGGAACAGCCAGAAATGTCCTTGTATGGATTGGGGGGAAGTGCAATCAGTCCCTCCTCCCTAAAGTGTGCCGGGGAGTAGAAGGCTCAGGGCTAAGGTAGTCCCAGATGGGGGGGGGGGGAGGTTGGGACCCAGCCAGCCCCTTTTATCTGCCTGGTGATTCTATCTCTTTTCTGTATGGTTTTCTGAGAAGCAATCCCATTCCTGGCACCTCCCATTTTCCTGGCACACCCAAACCTTTGTGTTTCTTTAAGTTTTGATAAGAGGAAGATGCATACTGAATTTGGTAGCCCTAGCTCTTACTGTTTAGGAGGAGTTCCTGAACAAACAGACAAACAGACAGACAAACACTCCCAAATATAGAGTAATTGGAAAGATGGTTGATCTCCTAAGAGTAAAGACAGTAAGAACTTTGTATCCAAACTAATGGGTTGGTAGAAGTCATTTAACTGAACTTTGCATGGTGATATTCAAGAAATGTTTAGCCCTGGATTGCAAACACGGGGACCAGTTCTTTCCCCCACCTATTTTTGTGTCTGAAGCTTACAAGTTTTCTGCCTTTGAACTGATGTCTGAGAAGAAACAAAGAATCATAGAGTCACTGAATACTAGAACTGGAAGGGACCTCCAGAGGTCATCCAGTCCAGTCTCCTGCCCTCATGGCAGGGCCAAGCACTGTCTACCTGCCCTTGAATATCTCCAGTGATGGAGTTGCCACAACCTCCCTAGGCAATTTATTTAGTGTTTAACCACCTTGACAGTTTGGGAGTTTTTCCTAATGTCCAACCTAAACCTCCTTTGCTGCAATGTAAGCCCATTGCTTCTTGTCCTTTCATCAAAGGCCAAGCTGAATGATTTTTCTCCCTCCTCCTTGTGACACCCATTTAGATACCTGAAAACTACTATCATGTCCCCTCTCAATCTTTTCCTTTCCAAACTAAAGAAGCCCAGTTCTTTCAGCCTTCCTTCATAGATCATGTTCTCAAGACCTTTAATCATTCTTATTGCTATCTTCTGGATCTTCTCCAACAGGGAGAACAATTTTTCTCCCTCCTCCTTGTAACACTCTTTTAGATACTTGAAAACTGCTATCATGAAGAAGCCCCAAGCCTTCTCAGACCTGCTTAAAACAAAGACACCATGCAACAAAGATAGTCCAATACATTTTTTAACTAAGAAAAGTCTTCTCAAGACTTCCTGGCTAATTGCTAGAAGAATTTTGCTTAGGTTGACCATATTTCCCTCTGATGAATATGTGACATGTAGAATGCATTTACACCAGGGCTTAACATGAAATAAGCTATGCAAATTGAGTTATGTCATCTCCATAGCTTATTTCAAAATAGATTATTTCGAGTTTTGGTGCTGTCTACACAGCACTTATTTTGAAATAGAGCATCCTCCGACTTCCCTTATTCCTCATACAATGAGGGTTACAGGACTTAGAGGAAGAAGTCCTCCAGCTTGACAGTATTTCAACATCATTTTGAAAACACTGCCAGCTGTGTAGATGCAGGTATTTCAAAATCATTTTGCTGTGTAGATGTTCTCCTAGCATACTTACTCCTATTCCAGTATGTTTAATATCAAGCAATCAGGTCTGTGCAGTACAATTGTTCAAATTAACTTCAGGTTCACTGAGCCCCCATTGAGAAATACTATGTAGCTGAATTATTTTATTCCCTTCTTATCATTAAGGCTTTAGGGTTCACAGGAGGAAGAATGACACCCCCAATCTCCAAGCTCCCATTCACAGTGGAGAGAAGAGACACAAACACCCTTTGATAGACCTCTCCCACACAGGATATGTGTGTGTAACTAAGGCTACATCTAGACTGCATTGCTTTTTCAGGATACTAGAAGTTTCCTGAAAAAGCAACTTTGCATCCAAGGAACGCATCTGCTTTTTCGAAAAAAAAAAATGCAAAAGAACAGAAGTGCTCTTTGGCGGTCCCTGTAAACCTCATTCTACAAGGAGTAAGGGATGACTCAAAAGAACACTTTTTTCTGAAATGTGGCACTGAGTAGATGTACCAAATTTCGAAAAAGCCTCTTTCAAAATTAAATCGAAAAAAGATACGCAATTAGCACAAATTGTGTATCTTTTTCCAATTGAAGAGTGTAGTCTAGACATAGCCTAACTGACTGGATCTTTCCTGGCCCATGCTCTCCACCCTCCATACTTTATCTGGCTCCCCAGGACAGCCCTGCCTTTCTCTGTATCTTTGTCTCTGCATCTTTCTGAGGCAATAGGGGGGTGTATGCAGGGTCACATCACCCTTCTTGCCTGCACAGTGCTGAAAGGGAGCTCAGACCTCCAGGCTGATGCTGGTCATTGGTATAACTCAAATGCTTAAACCTATGGGCTATGTCTGCAGGCTTTTTGCAAAAACTTGCAGAGCGTCTGCACTGCACATGCATTCTTGCGCAAGTAAATTTATAGTACAGCATCAGAAAACAGGGCTTCTTCCGGAAGAGTTATTCCTCTCCTCACAAGGAATAAGCCGTCTTGTGCAAGAGCTCTTCCACAAGAAGGCAGTGTAGACAGGTAACTTGAATTTCTTGAGCAAAAAAGCCCTATGGCCATCAGAGCTTTCTTGCGCAAGAGAGAGTCTACACTGCCATGGATGCTCATGCGGAAAAGCACTTCTCTTGCACAAAAGTACATGGCAGTGTGGACACGTTCTTGTGGAAGACCTTTTGCACAAGAACTCTTGCGCAAAACAATTATTGCGCAAGAAGCCTGCAGTGTAGACGTAGCCTAAGGTTACATTGTACAGCAGTGTGATAGGTTAGGACAGCAGTGTAGTAAGTTCAGGATTCACTGCTGTGGCATCCTGACAGGTCTCCTGTTTCATCAGGGGCGATAAAAGTTTGGCTGTGTGCATTTTTGCGGGTTCCCTCTGTATATCATGCCAGTTCTGCGCAGGTAACTAGAATAACATACTTTTCGAGAGCCCCCAAAGACCACAGACTCACATAAGATATGAATAGTGATAGAAATATAGCTGTGTTAGTCTGGTGTAGCTGAAACAAAATACAGGACTATGTAGCACTTTAAAGACTAACAAGATGGTTTATGAGGTGATGAGCTTTCGTGGGCCAGACCCACTTCCTCAGATCAAATAAAATGTTTTTGATCTGAGGAAGTGGGTCTGGCCCATGAAAGCTCATCATGTAATCAAGACTAACAAGATGGTTTAAAGTGCTACATAGTCCTGTATTTTGCTTCAGCTACACCAGACTAACACAGCTATATTTCTATCACTATTCTAAATTCTCCTCAAGATCTTTCACGATCAATAACATAATAATTTGGAGCACTCTGTGATGGTTTATGAAAGATACATTTCAATTGTCCCATTAAAGTGAACACATATGAAAAGGACAAATCAAATTTCAGAACAGAAGGGGGTTGGGGGGGGGGAGGTAAATGTCTGTGAGCTAATGATATTAGAGAAGATAATTGGAGAAGCTATCTTTGTAATGGGTAAGATAATTAGATTCTTTATTCAGATTCAGGTGTAGTGTCAAATTTAAGCATGAATAACAGTTACACCTGAGTCTGAATAAAGAATCTAATTATCTTACCCGTTACAAAGATAGCTTCCCCAATTATCACCTCTAATATCATTAGCTCACAGACATTTACCTTCCCCCCCATCCTCCTTCTGTTCTGAAATTTGATTTGTCCTTTTCATATGTGTTCACTTTTTTTAATTGTATCCTTTGGTATATATGGTTGCGACAATTTTCTTCCACTATTTGATCTGAGGAAGTGGGTCTGGCCCACGAAAGCTCATCACCTAATAAACCATCTTGTTAGTCTTTAAAGTGCTACATAGTCCTGTATTTTGTTATAAGATCTGAAGGCACCCGAGTCAGGTTTATTGTTGAACAAAGTACATTCATAGTCATTGGTAGCCAGATGGCCTCCGAGCCCCTATGAGTTTGTACCCATGACGATGGACTCAGCTCAGTCAGTGGTATGGGTTTCACTATTGCCCTCTATGCTGGCCAAAGAGTTAAGTCGCGGTACCCCAACATTTATAGACAGAGATAAACAATC